CCAGTCTCCCATCTCCAAATGTCTATTGGACATCTGGAACTGGATGTCCTGTAGACATCTTAAACTCTACATGTCCAAAACTGAACTCAGTATCTTTCTCCCCAAACCCTCCCCTCTTCCTACCTTTCCTGTTACTGTTGAGAGGACTACCATCCTCCCAGTGACCAAGGCTCACAACCTAGATGTCACCCTCAACTTCTCAATCTCTGATTCCCTATATCCAATCTATTGCCAATCCTGTTGATTTTTCCTTTGTAATATCTCTGTTATACTCCCCCTTCTCTCCTCTGATAATGTTGCCACCCTCATGCAGGCCCTCATCATGTCCCACCTGAATGATTGCAATAGATTGCCTGTTGGTCTTCCTGCCTCAAATTTCTCCCTACTCCAGTCCGTCCTCTACTCAGCTGTTAAAGTGATCTTCCTAAAGTACCAGTTGGGCCACGTTACTCCACTACTCAGTAAACTCCAGTGGCTCCCTATCAGCTCTAGGATCAAACATAAAACCCTCTGTTTGGTGTTCCAAGCCCTTCATAACCTGCCTCCCCCTACCTTTCCAGTCTTCTTATACCTTACCTCTGCTCCCCCTTCACCCCACCCACTGTCATTTTGATCTAGTGACGCTGGCCTCCTTGCCGTTCCTCGAACAAGATACTCTATTTCTTCACTGGCAATTTTCACTGACTATCCCGGTGCCTGGAAAGCCCTTCCTTCCTTATCTCTGCCTCCTGATTTCCCTGAAGTTCCAGCTAAAATCCCCCCTTCTACAGGAAGCCTTCCCTGATCTTCCTTAATGCTGATGCCTTGTCTCTGTTAATTATCTCCTGTTTATCCTGTCTAGATCTTGCTTGTACATAGTTGTTTGCATGTTGTTTCCCCCATTAGACTGTGAATTTCTTGGGATCAGGGACTGTCTTTTGCCCTTCATTGAATCTCCAGCACTTAGCATGGTGCCTGGCACATAGTAGGTGCTTAATATATTGACTGATTTGCTGATTTTTAGAGGAAACTCTAGACAAGAGCCCCAAATAAAATTGCCTTCAGGCTAGGAAAGGTGGGGGTAATTGAGCCAGCAGATGTTAGAGTGGGGAGTCCAATCCCCTGAGGAGAGGTCAGTCTCCCAGAGAGCTGAACCTGAGCAAATGACAATGACAGGGAAAGAACAGCCATCTGACCATATGGTCAGTCCTAGGACTTGAGCCTATTCCATTTTATCTTATTGGATTCAGCTTGGTTTTGTAGCCTGTCAACGTTATTTTGGATCCTGGCTGTATCTTCCCCTAGGTTAACTTTCTGGGAAGGGGTGTTCTGGAGTCAGGCTAGATCATGAGAATTCCTTCCTCAGCAAACACTACAAACCAGGCCTTGATTTTTTTTTTTTAGGCAATTGGGGTTAAGTGACTTGCCCAGGGTCACACAGCTAGTAAGCATCAAGTGTCTGAGGCCAGATTTGAACTCAGGTCCTTCTGACTTCTGGGCCGGTGCTCTATCCACTGAGCCACCTAGTTGCCGCCCCAGGCCTTGATTTTGTTGTTTTCTTGATTATCGAGACAGAAGAAAGTGATAGTGTAAATGTTAATAAAGCAGATTAAACTGAAAAGCATGTCTTGCTTATATTTCTTTTTCCAGAGAGCTGGTTGTTAAACATTGGCTCTTCCTTCCATCTCAGTGTCATCTGCCTACAATGACTGTAAGATGTGTAAGACTGAGTTGGAAAGGTCTTAAGATAATCATTGCACTTTTTACAGGGGAGGAAAGGGAGACTCAGAGAGGGAACGCTTTGCCCAAAGTCGCACAGCTAAGAAAGAGCTGAACCTTTATGACTTCAGATCCTTTTGCGTCCAGATGGTTGCTCTATCCTATTCTATAGGGGCCTGCAAATGGAGGGACCCAGAATAGCCACCTGCCAGTGTCAAAGGGACTCCAGGATCATAGAATGTGAGAACTGGAAGGGATCTTAGAGACCATCTAATCTAAATCTTTCATTTAAAAAAAAATCCAGAAGGCCTAGAAACAGAAAGGGCCTTGTCCAAGGACATCTGGCTGGGAAATATCATGACATAGATTTGAACCCTGGCCCTTTGGCTCCAGATACAACAGTTCTTTTACTATACCCACCTCCAAGGACCTACCAGTGTTGGATCAAGAGGTCGGAGATTAAGAGTAGAAAGGGTCCTTAGAGAGGATCCAATTTACCCCCTCAACTTTTTTTTAAAACTTTACAGAATTAAAATATTTATTTTTATCTTCCCTAAAGAGAGAAATATTCTTATCTCAGTCAATTTAAACCCTGAATAATAAGATAACTATACTGGATAATGCACAGTACAGTTTCACCTCTGTAAACCTTTAGATAACTGTGTGAATAACTTGTTGCTTTTACAAAAAGATTTTTTATCCAGAGTACTGATGTTTCAAAACATAACCTCCAGAACTTTGCAAATAAAAATTGGAATTAAATTTCAGTTACATAGCAGGGAACAACTTTTAATAGAATAATTTAATTACTATTAAAACAATGAACAAAAAGCATTTTTTTTTTACAGTGTAGGAATCATTCAAAGTAACTATCCTGGGTATACAGCATTACGCTTTCTGTCACACAGGTGGCTCACAGGAAATAGATCACCATGGCAACCCGTTGCAACAGGTTCTATTTGCCTAGGTAGCATTATTTCCCCATAGTTGGCAGATAGAATTCAGGTGCTTTCTAATGATTTTTTGGAGAAAAACAAGATGTGCAGATGCCAAGGATCCAATAAAAACAGAACGTTTGTAAAAAAAAAAACAAATATACACCAATGATACAACACATTATGAGCCGTGCATTCCCAAGTCACAGTCTCAGCATAATGTAACACACTTGATCCAAAAATAAAATGTTATGAAATATTGAGCAGAACCATAAATATGTAACTAGAAAGAAACTTTTTTCATTTTTACCAACTTTTGATCAGGAGAAAAATATTGCTTTCTATTCTACTGTACTACCTTTGTGAAATAAGCTATATGTAGACATAGATATAGATCTATAGATATACATATATATCTATATATATTTAAGTTCTCTGTCTCAGCTATTTGTATACTAACTGGAAAATATTAAAAATGCCTCTTCAGAAATTATGAACAAATGATGCCTTTGGGCTATAAAGTGTTAAGAAAATAAATATTTTACAGGACAACTTTGCCCTGCCCCCCACCACATACACAAACGCCGGGGTAATTTCTGCTCACACTTGCTGATGAGTCATTTATTGAGTCACGTGATGCCCAGCCTTTTCAAGCTGTCCTTAAACCCAAGAATAGGTTTGAGCCTGGGTGTTTGAAAGTTCAACCGGCCTGGAGTTGGAACATTATTGCTCCCACCTCCCCTCCATTTGACAGATGAGGAAACTGAGGCTCAGAGAGGGGAAGAAAAGTGTTGGGGCTGATACTTGAATGCAGATCAGGCTTTGCCTACTTCAACCTATTACAGGCTGCAATTGCTCCTCAGCGCCTTCCCGCCCTTTCTCCCCGGGTCGGCGCAGGGTACGCGCAGTTAAGACGAGATCCTTTGTTACATTGTTCCATAAGAGCCGGGTCTTCCCTAGTCTTAGCGCGGGCAAACCCAGCCACGCTGCTGGGGAGAGCGAGGGAGGCAGCAGCTTCTCTGGGAGCTCCGACCCAGGGCTGCACTAACCTGCCCATCTATCCTGAACCCAGGCCGCCGGCCCTGATCTCTCCCACTACCTTCTCCTGAGGCCCGAGTGCTCCAGTCAGAGACCAGAGAAGGCGAGAGACGGCCGTCCAGCCAGCCGTCCAGCCCGGTCGTAGCCGCCCCCGTGCTCCAACTAGGGACCAGAGAAGGTAGGAGCCGGCCCGGCTTGCCGTCCAATCAGCCCGGAGCTGCCGGCGTGCTCCAGCCAGCTCACAGCGAAGGAGGTGCCCCAGGGGCTGCCCGCTGACCAATGGCCTGTTCCAAGCACCAAGGTAAGCTGGTCGGGGACCCGCCTGCTGTCCAAGAAGGGGAACCGGTGCTGATTTTCCAGGGTCCCAAGATGCGCAAGGGCCAGTGTGTCCAGGTGACCGTGAGCAACAAACAAGTTAAATACCTTGTACGCTACCCAAGAGATACAGGGAACAGCACAGCCTCGACGGCTGTTATGGCTAACCCAGATGCACCTCCCCGGGACCCCCCACCAGCCCCAGAGCCTGAGCCTGGCCCAAGTGGCCCGAGGGCTGAGCCCAGCAGTTCTAGCAGCAGCCCCAGCCGCCGCCGCCGCAGTAGCTGCAGCTGCAGTAGCTGCAGCTATGCTAGTTGCAGCTGCAGTAGCTGCAGCTGTAGCAGCAACGGCAGTGATGGCAAGAGTAGCAAAGGCAGCAGCAGTAGCAGCTTAGAAATCACCATGCCCCTTTGGACCCCTGGTGGGAGCAGCAGCAGCGAGGACCTCAAAATCAGCAGCCCGGACGTCAAAATCAGCAGCCCGGGTCCGCAGTCCCCTGCCGCCGAGGGGAATGCCAAAGAGGGGCTCCTCTCTGTCGTTGTAGTTGAGGATTGGGAGTATGAATGGGTCGCCGAAGGCCGCGTGCTTCGCTATTCTACTGCCCACGTGCAGGACAGCGATGCCGCCCTCCAGATGGCTGCCAAGAGGGAGCAGTTGGAGGATTGCCCCGTCACCTGTACTGGGGGCAATGACGACTGCAATCTAGGCAAAGGTAGCAGCACCTGGCGGGGTACCGTGATGCAGTGGCCACGCAAGCGCAAACCGGGGCATAAGCGGGGACTCCTCCGAGCCAGGCTCTCGGCTGCCGATCCCGAAGAGGAGTACTTGAGCAGGCTGGAGAAAGTTCAGGTCCGGCTCCCCAAGGCTCTGAAACCTCTCCTCGTGGAAGACTGGGAGCTGGTGACCCTCGGGAAAAAGCTTTTCACTCTTCCTGCCAAAAAAACCGTAGCTGCCATTTTGGTCGAGTATACAACCTTCCAACAAAATTATGGGACTGCCACCAAGAAGCATACAGTCAGTGAAATGATGGCTAGCCTCCAAGAGTACTTCGACGTGGTGCTGGGCGACCAGCTCCTCTACGATTTTGAAAAACCCCAGCACTCAGAGATCCTGGCCAGCTACCCCACCAGGCTGATGTCCCAGATCTACGGAGGTGCCCACCTGCTGCGCCTCTTTCCGCAGATGGGCCCCATGCTGGCCTGCACTCCCCTCAACAACAGCAGCCTCGATGTTCTGCAGAACCACTTGCAAAATTTCCTGCAATATTTGGCCTTGGATCCTTCCCGGCTGTTTTCTGCTTCCACTGACTACCAGGAGGCTTCTGCTGACTACCAACAAAAAGCTGGGTAAGGGGTTTGGCCTTCTTTGCTCTTTGTACGTCTCAGAGCCTGTGATGGGTTGTCAGACCATGTCTTGTCTGAGGGCCCTGTTCTTATATCATACTTGCTTTGGCCCAGGACTGTTGTTTGTTCCCTTAAATTCTCACAAAGATAGCCTCTTTTCTCTTCTTACAGGGCTGTTAGTAGTCACAAAATAGGCAGTCACACAGCCCAGGTGACCACGTTGTTGTATTCGGCTTCTTAGAAGCCATTTAGCTCTTGGAATACTATGTACAAGGCTTACTACCTATGTTAATGCTCAGTGACCAAGGACCTTGATTGATTGATGGTATCAAAGATGTGGTAGCTTTAAGGGTGTGGGTTTGTTTGGTTATCTGATATGTGGTTGACTATCTGGGTAGGATAGGGAGGCTGGTTCAATGTCCCTTCTTGAAATGTCCTCGCTCTTTTTGCACTTGTGCTGTCTCTGTGCCCTAATTACTGAACAAGGGCTCTGATCTTTTCTGTGTTGATTGCAGTGCACATTAAGGTGAAGGCAGAAATTCATTGTTTTGTATTGGCAGCGATCTAGGATAGATAGATGGTTAACTCTTTCAAGTTGTTTTACAAGTGTTGAAAATATATTGATTTTGCTGTCAAAAATAGTGTGTATTTTTATGATTCTCGGAATTCCAGTAGACCCCAGGCTCCCGGTCAGCTGGTCATTGTTACCTTTGTCTTGGCCTTGAGCCACTATGACCCAGTAAGACCAGGTCCCAGAAGGGGGGACTGGCTCAGAACTGGAAGTGGGAGGGGGGGAAGCAGGGGCTATAGCCCCATTCTTTAAAGTGGATAATGACACCAGGTCTCCATTCCTAGGGGTCCTGACAGCCAGCAGCCCCTCCTGGGCCGAAGCGTTTGAACTTGTTTTTGCTGGTGCCAGCTATCAAGAGAGTTAGAGGTAATCCGACGATTTCCAACTGAGGGAGGGGAGGGAGGTATCTCAGCAGGGTGCTGTTAAAACTACTCGGTCTTGCTTGGGAGACTTCTGCCTAAGGACCAGATGCCCCAGCAGGGGAGCTGATATCATTACCCCGTTTAACAACTAATCTCCTGTTCTCACCCCTGGTAGAACATGATTCCTTCTTCAGTAACTGTCCTGGTGGCTCCACGAGCTGGGAGGAACCGGGGATGAATTGACCACAGCTTGACCAGTGCCCAGGAATTGTTAATAATTAAAAATTACTGGCATTTATATAGCACTTTTAAGGTTTGCAAATTGTTCCTATGCTATCTCATTTAGTTTTCACGACAGCCTGGTGGGGTAGGTGCTAGGATTATCCCCATTTTACAGTTGAAGAAACTGAGGCCAATAGGTTAAGTGAATTGCCTAGGGTCCCACAGGGTCTGAGGCAGTATTTGACTGAGCCCAGGTCCTCCTGGCTCCCAATGTACCACTTAGCTATCTACTGTTGCTGTGCCTTTGATGCCTGTGATAAGCCTCAGGCCTGTGTCCCCTTCACACATGCTGGCTCCCTCTGTAACCCTCCTGGGCCCAATAAGAAGGGGGTGGAACAGGGCCACCATAGGCCTGAGTCTGAGGCTGCCCCTGGCTTGTGTGTGTGTGTGTGTGTGTGTGTCTCTCCCACCCCTAACCTTCCACTGAGTTTTTGTAGGAGGCTGGGGTAAAGCTTTCTCAGCCCCTTCCACCTGGGGGAAGGGAAGAGGAAGGGAATAACCATTTATATATGCAGGTACTATGCGTTTACAAATACCTCATTTGATCCTCACAACAGAGATATGAGGTAGGTGCTATTATTATCCCCATTTTACAGTTTAGGAAACTGAGGCAGACAAATGAAGTGACTTGCCCAGGGTCATACAGTTAGTGACTGAGGCTGGATTTGAACTTGGGTCTTCCTGACCCCAGGCTAAGCCCTCTATCCACTGTAATACCTAGTTGCCTTTCTAATTCTTGTCACTCCATTCCCCACCCTGCTTCAATTACACACAAAAACACTACATGCATATTCTGCTAACTACCATTGGTCAACCCAGGGTCCTGCATATTACCCTGAGGCTTGGAGGAGCCTCAGGACTAAAACACTGAGAATGGGGGCAGAAGAGTTAAGAGAACTGGCAATCATTGCGTGCAATCCGGCTGCAACGAGAAATGCTTCTATGTTCTGTTATATTGAATAAAGTAGGGCCTGTCGATGGAGGCTTAGGAGAGACCCTGGGTTCCGGTCTCTCACTCCATACTACTTACCAGCTGTCTGTCCACAGACTCAGTCACTTCTACTATCAGAAGCTCAATTTCCTTTGCAAAATCAGGCTAATAAAGTTGGTACTACGAGCTCCATGGGGTTGTGATGAGGAAAGTGGTTTCCAAACCTTAAAGCCTCAAAGGAATGGGAAGTATTATCATTGTGTTTCCCCTCTTCATAGAGAGCCTAGGTCTGAATCAGAAAGACTTGATTCCAAGCCCTCTTTCAGATACATCCTGGCTGGGTAATCCTGCATAATTCATTTAATGTCTCAGGGCTCCCAGGCATCTCTCAGACCATAAATTGCAGAGCAGATGCTAATATGCTTTGGTGGGGGCAGTTTGCTCACAGGGAGTTCCTGCAAGGAAGAAATCACAGGGCCAGTGAAAACTCCAAACAGCTGGGGGGGGGGGGCGCTGGGGCCGGGGCCACGGAGGCGGCGGCTTTTTTAGTGTATTTGAACTAGGCATTCCTAGACATACAGGGTCTGTCTGGCAGTGTAACCTTCCAGAAATGTCTTCTCATCTCAGAGCCTCAGTTTTGGCACGTGTGAGTTGGGTCAGATGCACTTCTGTGCCCTTTGGTGTTTTAGGTTTCCCTCCTTGTCTGACATTCCTGACAGAGGATGACCCTGTAGTGAGGGAGGGGATAGCAGGCACAGTGGTAGGCCCATAGGGGACACAGCTGTTTTGAAATGGAGGCATCTTTTGGAACTCCACAGATCCCTTTGCCCTGGCAGCTGATTCTGTCTGCCCTGGATCCCTATGACAGCCTGACCCCAACTTAGACTCTACTTATACTCGCAAGATTAAATTACACATTAGTACCCTGCTGGCATATAGTAAGCACTTAATAGTTTTTTCATTCATTCTGTGATGGCCATCAAATGTTATGATTCTGAGTTTTTTTCTTTTAAGATCGTTGCCCTGAACTTATGACAGAGAAAGAACCGATCAAGTCTGAATGCAAATCAAAGCATATTTTTTTTTTCAAAATTTCTTTATTTTTCTGGGTTTTTTTATTTTCTCGTTCTGTGTTTTCTTTCACAAGATGGCTAATATGGAAATATGTTTTGTATGACTGCACATGTATAACCTGTATCAAGTTGCTTAGCCTTCTCAATGAGGGAGGGAAGGAGAGAATTTGGAACTCAATTTAAAAAAGAACGTTAAAAGTTGTTTTTTACCTGTAATTGTGAAAATAAAATATAAAAAAAAACCTTTCCACCAGTATTTCCTCAAGTTGAGCTGCTTTAATAAAGATATATAATAAAGATATATAAGTAGTAAGGCTCTGGAGCTACCTTCCCAACTCATGCAAGTGCTGGTGGGGCAGGATCCCAAAACAAAACTACTGCTCCAGCTCCTCTCTAGAATTTTAGTGCTATCTAGAGGGGTAGTAGAGTTCTTCAAATACTCTTGGCTTAAGCTCCCATTCCAATGTGCCCCCCCACCCCCAAAGTACCATTGCCAGTGCCAGTTATTATCTTTCCCATAAGACTTTGACCATTGCTTTCTCTTCAATAAAAATCAACCAATTAACATCATTTAACTTTATTATAAAAATTAATAAGTGCTTCATTTACATAATTATATTTTACTTTTTTCAATCAGCAAAAATCCATCTTCTCTTCCTCCTATTCCAATCCCTTCCAATTGAGGGGAAAAAAAGAAAAACAAAACCCATTACAAACATGTAGTTAAGCAAAGCAAATTTCCATGTTAAAAAATATGTCTCGGGGGCAGCTAGGTGGGGCAGTGGATAGAGCACCAGCCCTGGAGTGAGGAGGACCTGAGTTCAAATCCGGCCTCAGACACATAACACACACTAGCTGTGTGACCCTGGGCAAGTCACTTAACCCCATTGCCTAGGGCCCCCCCCCAAAAAAAATGTCTCATTCTGCCCTCTGAGTCTTTCATAACTCTTATCAGGAGGTAGGTAACATATTTCATCATTAGTTCTCTGGAATTTTGGTTAGTCATGTTGCATGAATTTTCTTACCAATTCAAGCAGCTAACACTGAATCAATCAGAAGAAAGGCTTTATTACACTCGGAGTATGTTATACTCCACCAACAATTGATGGGGAATGTGTTATTCACAATTCATAAAGCAATATTTATATATCATGTGAAACAAAGAAGAAAAGATGGTTGCTCATTACAACAGCTAGCCATACAAAGAAAATAAAAAGAAAAGGTATATCATTAGCTACAGGAGATAGATAAGGGATATGTCCTAACTAGTTTCACTAAATCAAAGGGAACTACCTGTCAGGCTAGATAAGGGAGGTGGCCTTTACAGGGACTCTGAAATCCTTTTTTTTTTTTTTAAGCAGTTAAGTCTTTTTGTACTAATCAGAAGAAGACACTGAAGGAAAGCGTCAGCTGCAGATGGTTTTATAGTTCATGTAGGGGTCATACACAGCAAAATGGTGACTATAAAATGAATCCAGTCATTTTCTCCCCAAAATTCACTTTCACCAATTCCCCCTTTGTTCTAAGATAAAACCATTTTTATCTTTGGGACATCTAATGTAAGGGTGAGATCAAGTCTACTGCTTGTACAGAAAAGTACGCATCTTAGTCCCAAGAAGGATATAATGGTTACAAAACAAAAAATAACAAATTATACAAAATTCAGAACTTTGCCCCAAAAACCACACATCAATTGATAAGATCAGTTAATTGTACCACAATAAATCTGAGAAAAAAATGAGAAAAATGAGATTAAAAATAAGTTTGAACAAAGTATCAATAAGATTGGAGAGTCATGATAATTCAAAAAAGTGTTAGAACACTTTAACAGACAGTGGGCAATAAACACAGCTCTATCACCAGGGACAAAAAAGAGGAATAGGGAATATATCTTAATGTCTATTTAGACAACAGATGCCTTATTCTGTCATCTTGCATTTAGATGTCTACCTCATGAAGACATCTGCTTTTGGGAAACATTTTTCCCTTGAAAATACTGTGTCAAAGGGGGTCTATCCTTTTTTTTTT